AAAATAGTACATATAACTAAAACAAAAAACCCCAAACCATGGAATAAACTACTTTAGGAACAGATATTTCTCTTGGCAAGGTAATTTCCAGTCTTATGCTAAAGTGCAAGCTATCTATGAAATATTTTTAATTATTAGAAATAGGGTTTTTTACACTTGAAATAATAGAGTTTCATTATTGCAGTGGCATAGAAATTTAATAAATAAACATATATTCAAAACATTTATAAACTTTAAGCTTTATTTAAACCATTGACTATGTCAGTACATAACAGGGAAATATGTCAGTATATAACAGGGAAATAGCATAACTGGATATTTAAGTGCAGTTCATGCCTAATGTCAAACAATCCATATTTGTGTCCTTTACCTTCTACAAGAGATTAAATTCATCAGAAATCAAAGAGGAAACCAAAACATTCCTTGTTGTTTTTTTAACAAAGGACTAGTGGAAAATCAATTACAAACCTTGATTTCAGATTCTGAATTGATGTTTGCTAGAACCATAGGTTCAGACATTAACAAGTATTTTGCTTTATTAAATTCTGGTTAGTTTCCTCATTACTCTGATACTGCTGTCTTCCGATAACCAGAAGTCCTATTCACTAAAGCAGTCGATATGAATGTACATTCCTTTCTTCCCAGAGACTGACTAATCCTCACATGTACATTCAGGACGTCCAAATATGCATCACAGCATAACTCGATAAAAGGCTGGAATAGGATGTGATATATTTTTTCACAGGAACTTTATCAGATGACTTTGTTCTCTATACTTTGTCTGGAATTACATTCTTTATGAATTGGATGTCTTTGATTAGATAGTAATTTGAACCACCACAGTCTTTTTTTTAAATTCCATTTCAGTAGAGTCAATTGGTTATTGTGGCAAGTTTTCTCTTCACCTCAGTTTGATATCACAAATGAGATCAGCATTTTCCAGCTGGCATAGGGAATGAGGTTGTTATTGGGAATTTTTATTACTCTGTGATGTCATCCAGTAAAAATGTTAAAATTCTAAGTATATATAAAATAAAAATCAGGAATGAATCATTAGAAAAATATCAAAAATATATAGCTTACTTATGATGGCATCTGAAAAATATTTTCAGCTCAATTGTTACATTACTAAAGCATCAACAGAACGTATGCAAATCTATTGATATTAGTTCTTGGTTTGTACATGTTTCTCAAGAAATATTATCACTTAAGATAATATATCCTGGAAGGAAATATGTTTCAATCCTATCAATTGGTACAGATGTGTGGAAGTAACCCATAGGCAGTGGGCAATAAATAGGCAGTTACTCCTTTATTCTGATGAAAAATCAGCTCTACAGCTGATAACACATAAGAACAATCATATATAAACTATAACTGTATAAAAAAATTTCTGTAAGCAATATTAACTAAAAGGGGATGTGGGGAAAGAACGAAAAAAATAATATTTTTTAAACAAGTATCCAATATTTCATCATATTCTTCATTATAAAAATTTAATTATATATTTGTATATAAACTTCATTACTATTCAAATTTTATTACTGAATTAAACTCATACAATATTGTCTAATTTTGCCTCACAACTAATCTATTTCAAAAGCTGAAAGTTGATAAATTAAAATTAATTAATTAAATCAATGAACCATTTTGAATCCAGTATAGTATTTTTTCCTGTATGAAATTAATTTTGAAATTATGTAAAAAATACTTTTCTAAAAAAAACAAACCTGATGCAATTGATTTGCACCATAAGTTATTCCAACTCACTATTCCATATCTCTTGTACATTTCTTGTCTATATTTCTTGATGTAGAGTTTTAATTCTTGCAGGACAATGTTGGTTTGTTCTTTGAAAAGGCATTCTCATACAGAATGCTTAAGAAATGTTAGAAGCCAATATAGTATCAGAGCCAAACAATAAAACTAAGAGATACATAAATTGTATTTTGACTGTTTTATGCATGTTATACAGTATTCCTTTTATAATCCTTCAAACATTGTAAAGTTGTCATTATACACTACTTGATTGAAAGCATTAATCCCATTTTCTACCCAGATTTTAAAAGAAAAGTTTTCCAACCATTTAAAATAGGATTACTCCAGTGCATTAATTTTTCATGATAGCTGGAGTCAAATTTAATTTTCTATCCAATAGAACCCAGTGTGTCTAACACTTTTCATTTCCTGCTATAGCAAGAATGAAAAACTTGACAGAACTTTATAGCACCAAATAATATTCTCTAATAAAGCTTGAAGAAAATCATTTTTTTTCATGTCAAACATGTTTTAAAGTCCAGAAAATTGAAAGCATCTTCACATATGGCATCCACAGCTTTAAAAGAAAAATCCTAGCTATATTTTCCTTCCATAAAAAGTTTACCATTAACTTGTCATTGCATTTCATTTCATTGCCTTGCAAGGTATTAATACTGAAAGTACTCTCAAAATGTCAGCATGTCAAACTTTTTTCCCCAGTAGAAAATGAATGAGCAATGACCCTCTTTAGTCATTTCTACAGGGACATTCCAGCTTTAACTTTTTAAATTTATCTACCTTTTAAATCCAGTGGCTTTTGCCTAGTTGAATGGTTTTTATCCAGGGGTGTTATCTGAATTAAATCAAGCCATAAGTTCCAATAGCAACCACTAGTTCTTATCTTTGCTTAACCTTCACCTCCAGATTAGCTGGCCCACAGCTGGCCTCTTAGCCTGAACCTTGTCTAGCAGTGAACTGTCCTAGACTTGTTCTAAAGCTGTACAAGATCACATTTATGTGCAGGGGTCATGACTAAGGAGAAAGCAACCAGCAGGGTCACATATAGCAATTGTGTAAAGGTGACCTGTCCAATCCTTTTTACATGTTTCAAAATGTTATTTCTATGTTGAACTCCCATTAAGAAGGAAGAAAAATACCTCCAAATTCTTTCCTTCTCTCTGTAATAAGGAAGTATATATTTCAGATATAAATAATTAGTAAAAGAATTTTATTTTTGCAAAATATGTTCTCAATGTAAGGAAGGTGTGTGCAGCTGACCATTACAATTTTCAAAAATCAGCCATTTTATCATAAATATAGTACCTAAATTTTAATCAAGCAGGTGAGATTTTGGTGGAACTTTTGTTTAATAAAAATACATCTATCTGCCTACATCTATCTATCTATCTATCTTCTATCTATCATCTGTAATCTTTTTATTCTTTTTATTCTTGCCCATCTGTAACTTCCTCTTAAGAAAAACATGGCTATAATTAAAAAAAAAAGTTTTAAAATGTAATAGCTGATTTTTTGGCATAGTTTCTTGAAATATTATGATTTTTTATTCTTCGGTTCTTCTTCAATATCAATTAAAAGACTATGGAACACTGCAACATTTGTACACTACATCCCTTTTCAATAATATTCATTTTCAAAACTTTCTGGAGTCGAAACAAACTCAGAAACTATGTATTATGTTATAGTCACTGCTTAAGTATTTACTGCTGAGAATAAGGCTCAATTGGAGTTTAAAAGCAAGGAGAAAAGAAAAGGGAGTACATTGTATATTTTGAACATGTTGTGGTTGGGTGAATATATAAAAGAATTCAACGAACATAAAACTGCTTATTGTAGTATATGTAACTTGTTGTAAGTCTTGTCTGTGGTTGGCCCAGTTTACAAAAATATATTTATTGTGACCCTCTCCCTTCCCAGATTGGGCCTCAGTTCCTCAAGAAATAATGGAATCCCATCTAGACCTGGCATATCATTCAAATTTTGAATTCTGTCCTGTCCAAAATTCAGATCAAGCTTGCTTTTAAAATGTGTAATTCTGACTTGCAGGAAAAGAAAAGCATAACTGGGCATCACTTTGGTAACAAAATCCACTGAAAAAGAAGTTGCACATTCTCTTTTGAGAGAGGCCATCCATCAGACAACCAGTTGATCTATTATAAGATGTCTTCTTTGTGTGGGTGTATTGGAGCCTGATCTGACATTCAATGGGAATAGTATCAAAACAGTGATTCCTTAATGTGACTCTCAGTAAATAGAAAAAAGCAGAAATAGCCACTATTATGGCAAACTAGCCCAGCCGCAGATTGGTCTGTTCCCATTTCACTCCGCTACTATATTAATTTCACTGTAAGATGCACAAAAATAGATATCAGACCACTGATGAAATCCTGTAGCAGTAGGAATAAAGAAATGAAATATATATTTAAAAATGTGATAGCTGGAAGGATTCTATCCTGCAGAATTGTAGAAAATGATAGGGAATGTCTGATAAAAGACTGCTCTTGCCTGCCATGGTAAGATTTTATGAACAAGTAAGACTCTCTAAGATCATAGTTTTGTGAGAATGCCAATATGATGTGGAAATTCTGAATGTGAGCCTCACTGTCTGCCCTTGCAATAGATAATACAGGACTTTAGTGCCCAATTGATAGCACATTTCCTAGATCAATGCATGCCAATAGTCCAGTAAAAATGTAATCATTATCTAAATATACTTTGTGCATAGCATTAAGAAACTTAAAAAAAAACTGCATGCAAATTACTATGCCAGAGGTTTTCAGAAAATAGTTAGTTAAATGTTTTAAGTGCCCTTTCTCACATTTAATATAGTTTATGAAGATTTTTAAGAATCTTCTGTTCAATAAGATACCTGCCCCAGTAAGGCTCCCTCCACTCGCTTTATAACATTTTGTTCTCAAATCCTTCAATTTCTAGCTAAAGTTCTCTCCTGGATTGGCTCGAAGCTGATCAATTTTAAATTAACTGCCTTTCAGCAGTTAGTTGTTGATTTGTTTTTGTTTCAATATTGCCACTAATCAAAATTATTTCTGTAGAAGAAATGTGGTTTTAAAGCTTATGTTCTGTCCATAATAAAAGCAAGGAGTTTCCAGGAAAGTGTTAACTGATGTGCTATTGTAGGGTGAGGGGAAGTTTAACAATGATGTTGACAGACTCTTCTGAACTATATAAAGCTATGAGATCAGACTTCACAAAACTCCACCTCACAATCTTGAGCCACAAGCACATCTTTTAGGAGGGAATCCTATCCTACAATGAACTGATCTCAAAAAGCTTTAGTTAATAGGAAGAAACTCTGAAGCCTTCAGAACACAGCAGAGAAACTAAATCTGAGGGGAGCTCTGAGAATCATTCAGTTGTTAGTCCTAGACACTGCTTCTGTACTGGGAATGATGCTAGTGTGGAGTTTTATGATCCTGAAAGAGAGGCAACTCCTCTGGGCAACCTTCTATGTTTTGTGCCTGTTGGGTGAGTATTTGAAAAGAAAGTACAACCTATGAAACTCTTATGCACAAAAGTGAAAGAATGGAATTATGAGTCTGTTTGCCATAGTTTATGAAATATTAATAGAAGTATGTACTTTTAATGTAATGTCAGTCCGTTTGAGGTTCAAATGGCAGATAAAAGTAGCAAAAGATTGCAGTATGGAATCTTCCAAATTGGTGATTTATAGACAGAAATCATTACAGATGAGTAGTTTCCCTTTGTGAGGAAATGCTATACCAAAGCATACAAACAATAGATGCAGGTGTTCATTGCTTTGCAACTGTATGATCTTTTCCACATGTCATCAAGAATGCTTAGTTATCCTAGTATGTATTTTTATCATTTTTATCATTTATTCTTAACCCAAAGTACCTAACTAAAACCCAAAATACTGTTACATTTTTTTTAAAAAAATTCTATGCTTGTAATCCTCAAATGTCTATGCTATATAGTGTATTGTTTTAATATCTTAGAGGAGTGTATTCATTTAAGCTTGCTCTTTAAAATGTATACTTCCCTACTGTCCAATGTTTAGTTTCAAAAACAGTTGTCAATTCCATTGCAAATGCATTATCTTTCTGTAAATGCTTAAAAATACAGCAGGATAAAAAATTTTGGTGTGTGTGTGTGTGTGTTCGTGTGCACCCTTGTGTACACAAGGCTTTCAGTCAGTGTTCTTCCTGATGGCCACCTGGACAAGTCCCTGAAGTTTTAGTGGCAAGCTTTTATTGGCTAAGAATGAGTGACCCAAGATACTTAGTTGGTTTTGTGTCCGCAGTGTGACTAGAAAATGTTTTTTTTTTATTTGAACATGTCATGTACTGCAAATATCCAGACTCTTTAAATAAATATTTTTAGTGAAAAGCATGCATTAATACAATCAAAACCAATACTAATACAATACTAAGTAGCAAAAGTAGCAAACAGTACTAAGTAGCAAAAGTAGCAAAAAGAAAAACAGAGTTTATCAGATGAATATATTCACCAGTTAATACTGCATTTTACAATTTGCAGACCATGTGTGAGAATATTTTGCCATTCAAAAAGTTCTTCCATTCTGAGCAATGGGAAGTTGGCGATGTGCCATTGCATTGTCTTTTTTAGTTTTTTTTTATAGTTAATAAAGCTCATCTGCAAGTGAACATGTTGTCATGATGATAATCACATAACTACTCTTAGTTAGATGAAAGTGGCCCACAGCTGATTGGTTCATAGACCAACTGAAATGTTCTGTCCAAAAAGAAAAGTAGTCAACTTATTTTATTTTTCTTTTAGCATATCATTAGATGCTACATCCTATTAGATGGTATACAATTCTTTTTCTGAATGTTTTATATCCATTTCACTGTGAAGCACTCCCCAAAGGATCCTCAATTGCTCTCAGTTGACATGTTTGATTCTGTTTGCTTCTCCAAATGCCTAGAAATATGTATTAGACACCTGCTGGGAACCTGCACATTGTCCACATTCCCTAATAACCAACCATCTGGAGACAAGTGCCTATTATTAGATATGATAGAATGCATTCTATATTGGTAGATGTTATCTATCATATAAAGAATTTACAAACTCATCCTGCAGTGGTAGACATACTGTACAAATGAAATTCTTTATAAAAAAAATTCCAGCTGTGCATTGCTATGTTAGTGGATGCAGATAATTAGCCTCTTAGTCAATATTCATAACATATTGGGGATGGTAAGGACAATATCTGGTCTGTAAATAACCTTGGAACAAGTAGACTGTATTATTTTGAGCCATCCAACTTTGTGCCCTTATTTGAAACTGTAAAAACCTGATCATGTTTGCGAAGAATGGGAAACCTGAATGTGACATTCAAATAATAGCTTGAATGCTTTTTTAGTATCACATATGAAAACTGCCTCATAATTAACTCTTAGATAATCACGGTAATCATGGTCTCTGTGCGTGTGTCTGTGTGTGATTCTATTTCTTTATTCTAAGCAGTATCTTCAAGTACTTTATTAGCAGTTTTGAAAGTTCTCATATTACTGGAAGAGCAACTTCCCAGTTGTCTAAGTCCAAGTTTCAATCCATAGAGAGGGCCTTGACCAGAAATTAGAAAAACATGGAATTGGTTTTGCAAATATGGAGCCAATATGCAGGAAAATGACTATATGGATGTATATTTTAATCTGTCTCATAATTTTTATTCATGTTCTACTAAAAGATTGGGATGCATCTTGAAAAATGTATCCAAGGTCATTGGCTATGTGTAACTGAGCATTGACTTGAGTCCAAGAGAGGAAAGGCTTTCAAAAAGTGGCGGTGACTGTTTACCATTTCGGAGATGCATGATGAGTTTTGGTTTTTGAATTTGTTTATACTTGGCAATCATTTTAAGGAGATTATTGTGCACTTGTGGATTCTTGAATTATTTCCCACTATCTTTATAATACTATTCTCTCTCTCTCTCCCTCCCTCTCTCTCTCTTTCTCTCTCTGTCACAGTAAATTCAGTACTTTACTAGAGTTTGGAGTAAACCAAATCTCATCAATGCATGCCAAGAATGTGGCAAAAAGCAAAATAAGTAATTGTCTAGAAGACTTCATTTAAATTGTCATGGTACTATTCCTTGGAGTTTACTACAACCTTAAGATCCTTATTTCTTAAGAAAAAGCAGAAAAGAACGATCTCTAAGCAAAAGGAAAAATCCAGAGGGTAATTTCTCAGAAATATTTGGTTGTATCCATCTTTACTTTTTCTTTTTTAAATAAATGTCTATTCATACTGAAAAACCTGGATGATTTAAATGCACAGATGTACAAATAACAGATAGCACCTGGAATGTGGGAACACATTTTATTTTGATAATCTTACAGAATCCATAATCAAGAAGAGTTAAACAGTTAAACAGTTAAAGAGACCTGACCTGCTGAAGCAACTTTAGATAGGAAACATGATTTAATTTACATGTGGCTGAAAAGATAAACATTTATTTGTACAACAGTCCCATTTAATGTTTCGTTTCAACTTTCCCTTATCAGCTTTCAGACTCAATTTTCTTGACCATGGTCACACTGACAATTTGCTGGGTTAAATCTAAAGGACAGAAGAGAATTGTGCACTTTTACATTTTGCACTGGGAACTGTTCCCCAATTTTTTAAAATAAAAAATATTTAATAAAAAAATTATTCTTTATTTATTTGCTTGTTTTGATCATCTAACCAGACAGATATTTATTATTGCATATTTTTCTTTTACCTTGTTTTCCACAGCAAACAGAAAAACCTTGATAGTTTTTAAATGTTTCTTCATAGAAAGTAGATGACTTATATCTTGGGATTTATTTAGTCATTTGTTTCTCCTGCTTCCTTGCTTTTTTATCAAGTCATCAAATGATACTTTGCTTTGTATCTACAAAGATCTAGGAGACTACTACTGTAAAAAATTAAGATTATCACTTCACACTGGTGAAGTACATTGCTGAGAATTACATCTATATGAGTACATAGCCTCCCTTTTCATCAAGAGTGCATATACTGTGAAAGCAATTGAAGCTGTTATTGGAAACTGTGATGCTGTATATAACATATTGCTAAAAGATCATATTGATATATGTATATTTCTTTAATAGTTACTTCACATATGATATGTTAACTTTCTATTTTTTTTTTCATTTGTATTGTAAAAATCTAAAGGAGGAAACCAAATATATGCATCCAATGTATTATCTTTTATTTTTGCCATGGAACTAAAAGTGCCTATAATCCATATAATCACTACCTAGAAATTAATACATTTGCAAAATATTGCATTCAATAAGTATTTTAATATAACAAACAAATCTTCTTATACGGTAATAATGGTAACAAAAAAAAAGAAAAGAAAACTGTGAGCATAGAATGTTGTAAAATAGTATCACAGACAAAAACACCAGTTTTTGAAGATTCAACTGAACTTCATGGTACAAATTGACAGTGCCAATTATTATGTTTGGGGAATGAGAATATTGCACTGAGAGCAAGTATTGTTAATTAAATTATTTGGAAAATGATATTATTGAAGATGATTATTTACAGGGAATTGTGATATTCTTATGAGATTATCTTGGGCCTCAAAAATAATACTTAACATAAATTACAAATAAAAAGGTATTTCACAAAGTTTTCAAGAGGACTAATAGAATGGGAATAATCTGAAATCTCCAGAGATTATACTATAGCAATGTTAAATTTAATTTTAACACTTTTATGTTCATTTTGTTTCCAATATATACAACCTGCATTGGTGTAGAAACTTGGAAAAGGCTATACCATTATAATAGGAATTATATCTAGTTTAATTCAAATCTTAATGACATTTTAAAATCAAATTACTTGAGCTGAACTGAAATAGAATGTTAAGCAATAATATCCTAATATTATATGATCAATTGTGGTGTGAGGTTTTTAAAATTGGTTTCTGAAGTTGGAAAAATGACAAAACTCAGATGTTCATATCATATACAATCCATTTAAAAAAATAAAACATTGATGTTGCAGGCACTTTAGCAATTGCATTTGGGTAGAATCGATGAGCAAGAAGTTGGCTTAACCAGGTGTTGTAATATTTTAAGTTGTCAACTTCTCTTCTCACATTCTCCTCAGTCTTTTCTTTGTGTCATTCGTGAGTGTAAAGCCCACACCCATATCCTGTCTAGGGCCTTGTGGAAAAGGAAAAAGCATCTGGAGGAGGGAATGGGTAGGATTTTATCAGATACTTCCAGAGGGAAGGGGACTCCACCCTTCTGAATCCCTGCCACATGGCTGCAGAAGAGCAAAACTAAAGATTCATGACTAATGTTGCTCAGAATGTCCAAAGGTGGTACTTATTATAATTATTGGCAGAATAAATCACAAATAATAAAATCTTGGCTTATCCAGTTTGATTTTACATGTGCTCCAGCAAATGAAATTCTGAACCTCATTTTTAGTCACATAGCAGTGTGATATTAATTTTGGCAGTCTGAGGCTAAGTG